ACAATGTACCTGTACATGTACATGTGACATCCGGAAAAATCACATGGAAAACCAATTATATTTTGTGATTAACATGGCATGGCGGCCATTTTAGATTCTGGTTGCCATGGCAACGGATGCATTTTCTCTGCATTTTGGGTTGTTTGGCTTTGATTTTTTGATTTTTTTACATTCCCCTTTGATTTCTTGTTTGAATGTTGGCTGGAAAACCGTGCATTTTGCATTTCCATTTTCCGCAAATTAAAACACATTTTTCGGACAGGCCTAGCACTGGGCCATAACCACAGTTGCATACTCTTGTTTATGCACTCTTGCTACTAGTATTCTCTATGTGGGCATGCGTAGGCACTTTCATGAAAAAAACGAGAATAATGCGATCACACCAGGATTCGAACCTGGAATCTCCTGATTCGTAGTCAGGCGCCTTGTCCGTTGGGCCACGCGACCGTCTACAGTTTCACAAACCCATATGTACAGAATAACATTATTATTGGACGTGTTCTATTTCACGTTCTGGGCCCGCAGGTTTGCAAATGCGTTGCTTGTTCGACCCTCGTTTTATCCAGTCCAGCTCTAGGCATTAGGAGTTCAGTGATTTATTTTAGTTAGTATTTTCGCTCCTGCTCTTGTAGTAGTTGAGCACTCTCATGTGGGGTAGTGCCTTTGCTGTTTGCATTACGCAGAGCTCACTGACTTGTCAGTTTGAGCACTCTGGCAAGGTACATTCGGGCCTGATTGGAAATTTTTATTTTCATTGCTATCAGGTTCGGCCTCATTTCCTCTGTGCTGCGCTGATGAGTTCACAAAGAACGAAACAGCATGCTGTCCCAGGGGCGTAGCAGCCAGTCCGGCTTTGGCCGGACCACTTTTTCGCCCAGAATGCAGGATTTTGCACCCAAATTTCAAAACTTTCCCGGGGGACACCCCCAGACCCCCTCCAACCGGACCACCTCCAACGGCAGTGCTACGCGCCTGTGTCCGCAGATTGAGTGATTTATTTTTACATATTTTTTAATTTTTTTCTTAGTCCACTTATCTTCACTAGTTTGAGGGAAAGACACAAACGGGAAAAGTCCGAAAAAAAATTGACTGTCACCACCAGGACTCTAACCAGGGACCCTCGCTTGTAGCTAGCGATGCTCTAACCACTGAGCTATGGTGTAGTCAGGACACTTATGGTCCCGAATAAATGCGGAAAGTGGTGGCGGGGCCCTGCTGTTCAGCCGACCTTGGTGGTGTGGACGTGTGCACAGACAAAGCACGGCAAGAAAGATAGGGAATGACGTGATGGACATACTAGTAGTATACCTGAGTAGTAGTAGTCATGTGTGTGTTTGTCATGTGTGTGTTTGTCATGTGTGTGTTTGTCATGTGTGTGTGTTTGTCATGTGTGTGTTTGTCATGTGTGTGTTTGTCATGTGTGTGTTTGTCATGTGTGTGTTTGTCATGTGTGTGTTTGTCATGTGTGTGTTTGTCATGTGTGTGTTTGTCATGTGTGTGTTTGTCATGTGTGTGTTTGTCATGTGTGTGTGTGTCATGTGTGTGTTTGTCATGTGTGTGTTTGTCATGTGTGTGTTTGTCATGTGTGTGTTTGTCATGTGTGTGTTTGTCGTGTGTGTGTTTGTCATGTGTGTGTTTGTCATGTGTGTGTTTGTCATGTGTGTGTGTTTGTCATGTGTGTGTTTGTCATGTGTGTGTTTGTCATGTGTGTGTGTTTGTCATGTGTGTGTTTGTCATGTGTGTGTTTGTCATGTGTGTGTTTGTCATGTGTGTGTTTGTCATGTGTGTGTTTGTCATGTGTGTGTTTGTCATGTGTGTGTGTTTGTCATGTGTGTGTGTTTGTCATGTGTGTGTTTGTCATGTGTGTGTTTGTCATGTGTGTGTTTGTCATGTGTGTGTTTGTCATGTGTGTGTTTGTCATGTGTGTGTTTGTCATGTGTGTGTTTGTCATGTGTGTGTTTGTCGTGTGTGTGTTTGTCATGTGTGTGTTTGTCATGTGTGTGTTTGTCATGTGTGTGTTTGTCATGTGTGTGTTTGTCATGTGTGTGTTTGTCGTGTGTGTGTTTGTCATGTGTGTGTTTGTCATGTGTGTGTTTGTCATGTGTGTGTGTTTGTCATGTGTGTGTTTGTCATGTGTGTGTTTGTCATGTGTGTGTTTGTCATGTGTGTGTGTTTGTCATGGGTGTGTTTGTCATGGGTGTGTTTGTCATGTGTGTGTTTGTCATGTGTGTGTTTATCATGTGTGTGTTTGTCATGTGTGTGTTTGTCATGTGTGTGTTTGTCATGTGTGTGTTTGTCATGTGTGTGTTTGTCATGTGTGTGTTTATCATGTGTGTGTTTGTCATGTGTGTGTTTGTCATGTGTGTGTTTGTCATGTGTGTGTTTGTCATGTGTGTGTTTGTCATGTGTGTGTTTGTCATGTGTGTGTTTGTCATGTGTGTGTTTGTCATGTGTGTGTTTGTCGTGTGTGTGTTTGTCATGTGTGTGTTTGTCATGTGTGTGTTTGTCATGTGTGTGTTTGTCATGTGTGTGTTTGTCATGTGTGTGTTTGTCATGTGTGTGTTTGTCATGTGTGTGTTTGTCATGTGTGTGTGTTTGTCATGGGTGTGTTTGTCATGTGTGTGTTTGTCATGTGTGTGTTTGTCATGTGTGTGTGTTTGTCGTGTGTGTGTTTGTCGTGTTGTGTGTTCATGTGTGTGTTTGTCATGTGTGTGTTTGTCATGTGTGTGTTTGTCGTGTTGTGTGTATTTGTCGTGTTGTGTGTTCATGTGTTTGAATTGTTCTTGTCTGGTCTGTTGTGTTTGTCTCGTGTTCACGCTCCCAGGTCAGTACTTGGCATTGGACCTCGACCACAACGGCATGCTCAGCAAGCAAGAGCTGATGGGGTGAGCTATCTGTGGGTGTGGGTGTGGGTGTGTGTGGGTGTGTGTGGGTGGGGGGGGGGGTTGCTTGTGTACTAGTATTCCCATCATTGATATGTTTACTCTTGTCACTGCTGTATTTACTCCCGTCGCTGATACGAGAGGTACCTGGTTCAAGTCCTGCCTGGGAGCGGTTTTTTCAGCCGTGCTGCTAGCCACGGTCAACTGGGAACTTGTGGCCAGGCACAAGGGGTACATGGATGCGGCTAATGGGGTTTCTCGGCACTTGTGCCAGGGGTTCTGAGACGTATCCACTCACCCCCACCGTTAGGCGCTGCATCTGCCGCTAGGGTTTATCGGGTGTTAGCGGCCGTCGTGAGTTCCCTTCGGGAACGGACACGATAATTTACTTCCTTACTGCTGTGTTTACTAATGTGTCTGGTGCATAGCTCGTGTGTACTTAGTGTAGTCCGTCCACCTCACCAGCAAATGACCGTCATAGGTACTAACATAGTCAAAATAGTCAGAATACCGACAGTGGCTGTAAGGTTGCACGTGGTACATGATCACCACGCTACAGATGTGCTCTGGTGCAAAGTCACCACACCGGCGATATACGGGCTAGACCTCTGTGTATGTGTGTGTGTGTGCGTGCGTGCGTGTGTGTGCGTGCGTGTGTGTGTGTGTTTGTGTTTGTGTGTGTGTGTGTGTGCGTGCGTGCGTGCGTGCATGTGTGTGTGTGTGTGTGTGTTATGTGTGATGTGTTTGCTGCTGCTGCCGTGTGCTGTGTTCCTGTTCAGGTACGGTACTGGGACACTGAGTCCCGTGTTTGTAGACCGTGTGTTTGACGAGTGTCTGACCTACGAAGGAGAGATGGTGAGTGTGGCGGTGACGTGTTGTCGTTTGTGATCAGGTACTAGTAATGAAACTCTACCCAGTGCTGTTGACAGCTAGCTGTTTCGGCCATCTATTGTCGGCCTCATCAGTACAGCTTTGGGCTTTTTAGAGTCTTTGTGTGTGGGGGGGGGGGGGGGGGGGGTTGTTGTTGTTGTTGTTACTTTATTTTACTTCACCAGAATTACAGGCAGTAGAATGCCTTCTCACTAGACCAGGTCAAAAATAGAGCAGGGTTTAGACAGCAGAGGAAAGATTACATAATTATTTGATCAATGAGCTACGTTAACCCTTTGGAACTGCACTGATCACACGACGTCAGGAGATAGCTGCAATTGCAAGTATATTCGTTCCAATTTCCATCATAACGCTGGTTCTACTTCACCGATTCTGACGATCTTGGGCTCGTTGGAAAGCTCTTGGAACGAGGATAACAGCGAGCCCAAACTCATTCAGGAGAGCGATTGCTGTCTGCTACCGAATGCCAGGAACGCCAGCTGAATACCAAATCCAAAACGGGAATAGTCCTTGTCTCGCCATTTCACTCGTGCTAGCTCAAAATCATTCAAATTTTTTCTAACAGGCTCAGAAAAGCCGTGACAAAAAGCGCTGGGAGTGATGTCACACGCTGCGTGGGCAGGAAGAGGGAAAATCCCACTTTTGAACGAAATTTGCACTTCGCTGACGCATGAGAAATCGAGCGAACTTTCGAGCACTCGCCGCTCTGTTATACTAGCTCGTATCGACCCCGGAGTTTTTCGAGCCGACAGCTTAGATTCTCTGCTACCTCGTAGGTATTTCGATTGTTGAATTCGGTTGAGATTTGACTGAGTTGTGACTCGTTGAGTGCACTTGCACACATGACATTGGCATCGTTCGAATTCGAACGATGAGCTCCAAAGGGTTAATCAGTGAATTTTCAGGTGGGATAAAAGAGCGGTCCGGAATTGACCTTGTTTCTCCAGTAATCGTATAGATACTTCAGCACTGTATTCCTGCAGCAGTTTGTTGAATTTCTTCTGCACTATGCAGCGGTTGCTCATGGTATTGGAGGTGCCTTTCAAGATCTTCTCTGCAATTTGTTCTTTGCCGTTGCCACTGCAAGCACTCGCGACATCTCCCAGTACTTGTACTTGCTTCAGCTTGTCGAACACGTGGTCTGCACTACCATACTTCATGTCCACAATTCGGCAGTTCGTGCCACTTGGTAGCTGGTGAACTTGAAGCCAGCCTTACTTGTGCCAT